TCTCTTCTCTTCTCTTCTCTTCTCTTCTCTTCTCTTCTCTTCTCTTCTCTTCTCTTCTCTTCTCTTCTCTTCTCTCCTCTTCTTCCTCCTTCTTCTTCTCTCTCTCTCTCTTTCTCTCTCTCTCTCTCTCTCTCTCTCTCTCTCTCTCTCTCAAAATGCCCATACACATAAAATACATAGTTATTTCGTCAGTTGTTTTTTTTTTTTTTTAAGGTTTTTCGAGACAGGGTTTCTCTGTATGTCTCTAGCTGTCCTGGAACTCACTCTGTAGACCAGGCTGGCCTCGAACTCAGAAATCCACCTGCCTCTGCCTCCCAAGTGCTGGGATTAAAGCCGTGAGCCACCACCACCCGGCTATTTCGTCAGTTTTAATGAGACAAAGTCTCATTAAAGGAGGAGGGGAGGGAAGAAGAAGAAACAAAACTAGAGAACTAGAGCTAGAAAGAAAACAAGAGGGGCTGCAGAGATGGCTCAGTGGTTAAGAGCGTTGACTGCTCTCCCAGAGGTCCTAAGTTCAATTCCCAGCAACCACATGGTGGCTCACAATCATCCATAATGGGCTCTGATGCCCTCTTCTGGTGTGTCTGAAGACAGCAACAATGTACTCATACACATAAAATAAATAAATCATTTTTTAAAAAAAGAAAGAAAAAGAAAACAGAACTAGAAATGCCTTGCACAGAACAAAACTTGCTTAAACGCTCCCAGGACTCCCCACCTCCCTCTAGCTGTCTTCTTGGATCCCCATGTGTGTACACCTAATCTCAGCAGGTCTGCCAGAGACACCCTGAACACAAACCCTAGTCCCCTTCACAGCCCCTTTTCTGCTCCAGCAAAGTGAAAAGAAACTATCATGACCCGGGAAAAACCTCGCCAAACTGCAGGCACAGTTCATATCGGTGGGAAAGAAACCATTCATAGACAAAGGTGGTTCCTGGATCAGCCACAGCAGATGATAAAGAACTAGAACTTTGATTCTCTTTACCGGCCAGGCTGCAATACAGAAGCCTGCAGAAACACTTCCAGACATTCTACACCAGCTTGGTGCAAACAGTCTGACTGGGTGAAGGAGAATGGCAGTAGCGCTGTCTAAGCAACCTGAGAATGGCAAAGCACCAGTTGCTACTGGAGAGGAGGATGAAGTTGCAGGTCCTGTGGAGAATTGTGATGAGGCTTTCAAAAATGGAGCAAACTGAACTGAGGCACTGTGTGAAGAAGATGAAACTTGGAGAAATTACTGGGGCTGCTATTTCATGTCATGACTGCTTCAAAAAATTTACATGATTCTGATAAGACCCACATCTTTAATATTTTTATGTTCGAGCCCCATGGACACTGCAACTCCTTTTGGTTGTTGGTTATACACAGTTGATTCTTTGCAGCAAATTCAGCTGAAACAGCCTGGGAATCAAGTTGGAAAAAAGTTAATAGAATTCTTTGGTCTCTACATTCTTGCTATGGTACACACACATGCACCCATGCACACACACCAAAGACGTGTAAAAAAAATTCTAGAGATGGATTTCGGTAGTGGTTATACAACAACATGAGTGTACTTAATGCCACAGAAGTGTAAATGGCTAAGATGGCACATTTTATGTAGCTCTCTCTCTCTCTCTCTCTCTCTCTCTC